GCCGCCGCCGCCGCCGGAGTCATGGCCGTCGGCACCACCAGGCCGGACTGCATGAGTCGGGCCACAACCGCTTCCCGATGGAGTCCTTCAGCTCCTCAGTCTCCGCCGCCCGCACCGAGGCCGCCCGCGACCGCGTCGCAGGCGGCTGACCTTGACCGCCGTTCGATGTCATGTGACCGCCGGTAGTCGCCTACCGAGTCCGGCAGGTCACGAGCACACACGAGCAGTCTTTTCTCGGCGGCGGCGGAGCCGAGAATCTCCTCTAACCTCTGTACACCATCCGCTCCCGTTCGCTCCACACGAAGAAGTCCAAAGGGTTGAGGTAAGGACACTTCAGTGGGCAGGGCAGGCATCTGGCTCGACAAGGCCGGGCAGGCCTGTTCCAGAAACTCGACCACTGAGTGGGCCGTATCAAGGTCGTATATAGGGCCGTGTGGCACGGAGCACCCGGCCCCCGCCGAAGTTAGTTGGTAGCACTGCTGCTCCACGGCGTACGTTTCCTACCAGCCCATAGGGTTTACATGTTAAATGGCCTGTTTTCGGCGAGCGATATCTCGGTCAACATTAGAAGGAATCAATGGTTCTTAGTCTCAAATGATAGATCGATGAATTTTCTTTCGACAATTCCTCTACCATTTTTCACGAAACCCAGCCGATCTTCTACGGCGTACAGGGTAAAGATTTCTCTGCACGCCAGCACCCTCGATCCGCCTCTCCGATCGTCGGCGCGCGGTCCTCGGTAGCGCAGTCGGTAGGGTATCGGGCTACGGATCCTAGGGTCGTGGGTTCGAATCCTGGGGGCGCCGCGTGATTTTGGCTAGAATTGATTGATGATGATTCTTGTATGTTTGCATAATCAATTCAAGGCTATAGAACTCCAGGTAAGGACACCAGCCGTTTGACCTTGAACGCCACCGGCCGGCCGATGACGTCATTGGAGGCAAGCCGGCTCGGCGGACACATAGGGCGAATGCATAACGGAGGGGCGTTGGAACGCGGCGGGAGCGGGGGAGATATTTTAATGTGGTTGCATACCACCATTGTTATGTTGATTGATCTACGGACTGCATTCTTTTAAACCTCGATGCATCCTAGGCCCATGGATGGTGCGCACATTGTAGAAAGATCACCCCGTCCGAACACATGGTGTAGGTACTCATGGGCGTATAACCATCAGAGGTAATGCCTGAACGTAGGTAAGCATAATTGGTCTGTCATATTGCTTAGGAATATAAAATCTTAATGGCGATTATTGAGGATATGATCTCTGCATTACGGGAATTCACTAATTACTACGGCCCATAGGGGCACCGCCGGAGCTGTTGTTTTACCATCGGTCCCAGGCAACTCCAGGGAGCTGCAGTACGCGGCGGCCAAAGCGGCCACCTCGTCGACTCGCATCTCCTGTGGGACAGGGGCGGATCCAGAAAATCTCCAAGGGAGGGGCCATTAGAAACCAGGAGGCCCCCCCCCCCATAATCCCACCTGTTGGAGGCCCCATCTTCCCACTTGTTGCCCCCCCCAAAAAAAAACTGCGTCTATTGAGCTTATCTAGCTGTTCAGGCAACATCTCAACATCTGTGCAGGCTTGGAGGCCCTCTGTGCAGGTTAGGAGGCCCTGTAAAAGTGGTCATCTCTGTGAGTATAAGAGACCTCCAAGTTATGAAAAGCTTTACCAATCTTCTAACAAAGAAGTCTTCTCAGCTAGTCTTCTAAGAAATAACTAAGTGGGTAGGTTAAAAAAAAAAACTCATCGGATTTCGGCCACTCTATTTTCAGGAGGCCCCCTTTTCAGCTTTTTAACTTTTTAACTTTTTATTTTACTTTTGAAAAAAATCGGCCAAGGGGGGGGCCATGGCCCCCATGGCCCCCCCCCCCTTGTATCCGCGCCTGCTGTGGGATTCCGTGATGCTTCAGTGCTTCACCCACAGAAGCACGGGTATAGCAGTAGGATGTGGGGTTAGGTGTCTGTCCACTTCTTCCTTTTAGGTACAACGTAATGCAGCGCCTGGTCCCGCCGAAGCTCGGTATCGACCGTGACTTATTCATAACTGGCGGATCCAGGAAGCGGTCTTGGACACTGCGGAGGCTTACCCCAAAAAGGTTTCTTCGAATTAATTTAAAAATTCGGATTTCGATTCCTTCCGTACTGCTTGCGTACTGTGAATAACCAACATTTCCTAAGAAAAGCTGTGAAGTTTTCTTTAATTCTCGAAAAGCGATTTCGGGCGCTGCCCCGGTTGTGGGGGAAGACATTTGCCCCAAATGCCTTCCCCTGGATCCGCCAGTGGGTTGCCACACCCCGAGCTTAACTAAAAACGTCTTCAAACCCCACCAGAAACCGATGGTAAGGTGAATTCAAATCCAATAACTCATCTTTGTCTGCCCGCCTAAATATACTACACATGGTACGGCACTCGGCCCTGACGCAGCTTTGAGCCGATCGTGACATTTTCGGCTTTCCCGGCCCAAGCTCGATTAGAAACGTTCTCCTTCCCCACCCGATTGCTGATGTTAATTAAAATTCAATACCTCATCTCTGTCTGCCCGCCCATAACCCATTCATTGCACACCGTTCAGCGCTCGGCCCCGCCAGAAGTATCCTAGCGCGCTGAGCAGTTGCCTCCAGCCGCGTCATCCCGAGGCCCCGCGCGGCCCATAACTGAATACATTGCGCGAATAGCCGTGTCACCCCCCTGAATCAATTATTAATAGCTAATTGAATGTATCTGCCCACTAATCGGCCCCTAAAACCTGTTATTTAAGAAATTTAAGAAATGAATGTCACGTGCGCGTCATGACTGCCAACCATAAGCGCTACCATATTCTAGTTTGAGCTAATGCTTTGCTAGTCCCGACCACATATGGTAGGTTTTCTAGAAGTTATACTAGAAATTCCTACCAAAGTTCGCCCTACCCTTCACTCAATATACCCTGCGGAGCACCATCCTGCTGGAACGTCCAGTTGGAGCCGAAAACCGCCCAGATGTCGGGAATGTGTACAAGTTAAATCGAAAGATGTCTTCAGGTGTCCTTTGATAAAATTCACTGAACCTTTTTCTGGTATTAGTATATATAAGGTCCGAGTGGCGGACCGATTATGAAAAGCACACTATACGATGCATTTTGACCTGATTTCATATCTGATAGTTATTCATTCTGGAACCAAGTATCAATGCAGCTATGAAATACTTACAGTTATCGCAAACCGCTACCACATGGCTTCTGATGGCTTCCACACTCCATACTCCCGCAACGTATCGTTGTCCAGCGTTGCCATTGATGAAAAATATTTACTGTCGAGAAATAAAAACATTGAATTTATAATAAAAATAAATAAGAAATATGTGAAAGATATTTATTTAAAAAATATCAAATTTAAGAGCAAGACAACAAAGGGGAAATGTTGGGAACCGGGGTTTTTGGGTTGGGGGGGGGGAATAAAAACATTCAATATATAATGAAAATAAAAAAGAAATATGTAAAAAATATTTATTAAAAAAAAGAAATTAAATAGCAAAACAACAAAGGGGAAGAACAGTTGCTATTCAACTGTGAATAATGACGTCATAATATCTCTCGCGGCGAAGCAGCGCAGTGCCGAAGGCAATGCCTTAGGAGAGATTACAGGCAAGAGTAAATCAAATATTTTTAGGTTAAGTGGTTATGTATCTGGCTTCAGGCATGTATCTGGCTTCAGGCCGAAGGCCTGAAGCCAGATACATAACCACTTAACCTAAAAATATTTGATTTACTCTTGCCTGCAATCTATTCCTGCGAGAAACCTTTTCCTTATCCCCGGTAGGCAAACATCAGTAGGTTAGGTTAGGTTAGGTTAGGTTAGGTTAGGTTAGGTTGATTTAATGCGCATATTGGACGGTTCAAGGTCACGCGTCAGCATACCCGACGATTTTGTGACTCGAACACTAAGAACTTGATTTTTGTTGAATTCCGAAGAACATGGATGATAATTGGATATCTATCTGCATCAGAAATGTTCAATTTCATAGATTACAAAAATGACCTATTTGATTAACCTAAGAGTGTATTTTTGCTCTTAAATGCCGCAAAAGTGTCGGTAACTTTTTCGCTATTTTGTAAGCATATTGGACGGTTGGAAATTAATTTCAGGCCGATTGTAAGCAAATCGGACGGCGTCAGCTGTTGCGGTCTGGGGATGCTCCGCCCCTCACGAAATTAATTCCAGCCGTCGAATATGCTTACGGAAAGGTTTTTTCTTGGACGAAAAGGTAAAAATGTACATATACCTACCTACTACTAAGTCGCAACCACAAAATTCTTGTATGTAAAAAAAAAAGGATTCAGATTCAGATTGATGCTGAATGTAAATGTTTTGCGGAGTTTTTAGAATTGCTTGAAAACGATATAAGGCCGTACAAGCTAGCTGACCTTGCGAAGGCAACATATTTACAGAGTGATCTCAGGTCAAAGATGAAGGAAAAGGTCTACGGGGAAAAAAGGTCTAGGGATTTGAAAAGATGAGATAGCCCGTATCCGAGGAATCTCCAGTTTATCCTTCCTCTCGGCCAATTTGGCCTCTACGTAGGTATGGGTCTGACAATATGTCAGGAATGAGTCCTTCACTCCCCATGAGTGCGACATCATCCTGTAATACAGCCATCCGTCTAGAATCTTTGGTCAGCTCTAATCAGCTCTGCTTCAACCAATCAGCTTATCTGACGCAATACGACGAGTCTATCTTCTCAAGGCTGATTGGCTTGAGTGTGACGTCATCACTATGAGATCATAAGTAGGTGCCGTAAGGCTTCAATTCATAAGTTGCGCTTACATATCATTTTTGGCTTGGCTCTAGCTCATTTATCTGTGGCCGGGCCACCGCCACAGCTCATTTATCTTTGCCAAAAGCGTGATCAAGTTCTGGTATAGATAGTTAGCCTGTTCGACAGTTCATTTTTTTTTTTATAAAGCAAGTCTCTAAACAAACTTCATTTTCCCATTTTTTTTAACACTGCTAACGTATATTTCATACAGACGACGTATTATTGGTGGCCGCAGCAGACGACGTCAGCTGTGCGGCCACCAATCACAACAGCCGAGCCCGCCGAACCCGCGGCGCCGCAGCCGGCGCTTCGCCGATCGCGACGGCGCCAACGCCGCCCGCAGCGCCTCATTGAGGCCATGTAATATAGACGTTAGTGTCACGCAACCTACTCCGAATATTGCGCGACTGGGGGGCATGTGCGGGTTGTGCCGGCTGCTGCCCGTTGCAGCCGGCGCAGCCAATAGGGCGTGAGCGGCCGCCCCGCCCCGGTCTGGGCAGGGCCGGGCCGGGCGGGCAGTCTCCGGCCAGCGGCCGTCGAGTGCTCACCGAGTGGAATGTGACGTTGCCGTAACCCAGTGTCTGTGGTAATACACCCTGTCAACCTTCAAGACTCGAACAGCATCCAAAAAATGAACCGCCGTCGAAAAGCCTAGGTCCTTGTGGCATGTGGCCCGGGCTATGCTCCCTGCGGCTCGTAAGCAGCTCTAGGAGTGCACTGCGGCCGGCTCGCTGAGCCTTGCGACGCCAAGCACGGAGTGGCGCTGGAACCGCCCCGGTGCGGGGGACGCACTCACACCTCCACCGTTACGCTCTAAGACCACACGTCCCTGATTCCAGCGTCCGTGCTGCGCCGTTCAGACCGTCCGTTCGTCGCTCACTGTCCCGCCTGCCCGACAGCTCTACGGGCCCGCGGTTCAAAACTACCGCCGACAAACACAAGATATGCGCACAAAACTACCGCTGACGCCCGGCTCGCCGAGCTTTGCGACACCAAATCGCCACCACACACTCTACTACAAACACAAGAATGAACAGCTCGCGTCGCCGGCGCGGCCCACAGAAACTAAGAGGTCACGACGCCCGCGCACCGCCGGCGCGGCTTGCGCTCACTCCCACTCGCTCTTTTTTTCACTCCCACTCCCCATTTTGTGCCTCAGTTCGCTCACTTTGAGCCAGGCTGCTCCTGATGAGCGTCCAGGGAGGGCAGCCGCCAGCTCCTCGATGTCGCGGAACCTCTTGGAGGGGTTCGCCGCGAAGTCGGCGACCACCGCCAGTTCGTCGGCCCTCCACCAAGATCTCTTCTTTGTCGGCCGTGGTGGCCGTGGTGTCGGCCGGCCGTCGTCCTCAGCTGGCGCCGCGTTCGGGACGTTGACGTGTACGGGGATGTTGACCAGCTGGCGTCGCGTGGGGTTGATGGTGTCCGGGGCGTCATCGTCATCCGATCCCTCCTCTCGCCCCACATCGGCCTGGAAGAAATAAAGTATGAATGGGCATACATTTTGAAGGCACCGTAACCATCGATAACTGTTAGTAATAGGGTGTCCCAAACATCGATAACTGTTAGTAATAGGGTGTCCCAAAAGTTTGTTGGCACAGTGGCACCATGTTTTTTTTTTTGGTATTTTGGAAGCAATTGATAATTCCCAGATAAATCTTTTTTCGCTTCGCCTTTTCCCTGCCGCACGCTGTAATTTAAGCATTGGATGACGGCCCAGTTAGCATTGAAGGCTATGAGCTATCTCCCTTCCATGCGAACCTGAGCTCGAGGCGTAGCACTAGAAAGCTCGTATCGGGCGATGGGCGATCATGTCCCTGGTTAAGCCGCGCCCCACCCTGGATTTCCACACCCTGCTGGGGGGAGGGGGGGTGTTTGAATACCGTCAAGTTGAAAGGTCAACTTGAAAATGTGAATTAGGTTCACTGTGTCATGCTTACTGATGTCATGGCGTTTGAGTGTTAACTATGGACATCAAACCCCTTGAGACCCCACTTTTTGCGATAATCTTGAGACCGTGCAGAGGTTCATTTATGACGTCTTAGGTCAGTAACCTGACCTGACCCAATTTCGATTGGTGTCAAAAGATCCGGCTTGAACCAAAGGTCTGGTAAGTTATGTTTCAGGCTCTCTATCGCCAGCGTGTTCGGAGTTAAAGCGAAAAAATATACTGGGGAGAAACCCAACCCCCCCTACCCCTCGGCCGGCGAGGTCAAATATTTATTAGGCGCAATACTCACTTCCATCGCGCGTCGGACCTCAAGTTGGGTCCTTGCCTTTCGCGCTGTGGCTGCCATAGCGCGGTAGACCTTTTGCCGTACTTGAGGGCTGTGCCCCTGCATCTCTGCCAGGTCCTCAACGGTGGCTTGCAGGTGACCCTCCATCCGCTTTTCGTTGGTCTGAAACAGACCATAAAAAGAGACGTTGAGACGTGGCGCGTCCTTAACTCCCAACAAACAAACAAAGACGTTGAGACAGGGATAGGATAGTGGATAACATTAACACCTCCCACTGGATAACATTTACCGCCCTTCCAGTCAGAACGTGAACTTCTCACCAAATTACCTTCTCTGCAATACGTTTTTGTTGAGAGTCTTACATGGATTTAACGAGAAACATTAAGTTATTTCTTCTTTAGATGGTTCATGGCTACGGGAAAAGCCAGAGTTATGTGATATTCAGAGCTGAGAGTGCCAAGTAGTAAATTTTCAGTTGGCAATTGGCCACTGGCCAGTGACCCAACTCGTGTTTGCCCCCCCCCCCACACACACACACATACACTCAGTCAATCAAACGCCCAACACGGATAAGTATGTTTAACAGTCACCATCGCGCTCGCAACAAACTGTCTGTGATTTGGGACTGTATTCAACATGTACATGGGATGCATGGGACTGTAATGCACTGTAATGGCATGGGAAGAACATCATTTCACGTGCTTGGACGTTTACAATCACAAAAAGACTGGACATACGCGGATAATGTGAGCTGACATGCGCTGAATCGCGATTCCGGCCAAACATTGTCTCGAGAAATAGGTCACAGGTCATTTGGGTAAGGGTCATGATATTTTTTTTAGAGTGGGTGTAAAATTGATCAACCCGAGGGTACTGAAAGTTTCGTCGATTTCGGACGCTTTTTGCGCGAGTTATTCGCGGAAAACCATGGGGGGGGGCATCCGACCCCTTCCCCCTACATGCACAATATGACTACGATTACCTTTTTTGTTTAGTTTTTGTTAAACAAATCATGGTCTCAGGGCTGTGACGAAAAACAAGTGGCCTAAGTCCGGTGAGAAAACAGGGTTTGGGAGTATCCTAGGTTTGGCTCCTTGCCTCTGCCCCCTCCCCCCTCCCCCCAGTGAAAATTCCTTAGACGAGGCCCTGCGTTGAGACGTATTAAGGGGCTGTGGGAAAAAAATATTCTGGAATGTTTTTTTTTTTAACTCCGTGACTGATGAGCAGATGACAGATGATTACTTGAAAGAAAAAGATGGATTGATCTGAATGTTTTGTACAACTTACGTAGACGACGGAATGTACACGGAACTTGTTTCCGCGAACTTTGGCCGCCATTTCCGGGGTCAGCCAGTCTGGCCGCCTGGCCCCCAGTGGGCCGGTGTCATAAGCGTGAAGGCGGGGAAGGACGAAATCGTTGACCTCTGCGAAGCGAAAACAATTATCATGTCCTAAATCTCGATGGTGGTCTGTGTTTTGCGCTATCGTTATTACATGACAAAAAAGAATTGGAAAAAAAACTTGTATCAGTTTTATTGGCAATGCGATTTTTTATCTTTTCAACCCTCAAACCTTCTTAATCATAACCTAGGTACACAAAATTTGCATAGGACCGAGAACTTTGAGAGTTTTCGCTACCCACCAAATTTGTTGTCTCTAGATACCCCCGAGACCAATCGACAGGTGGCCTTATCAACCTTCCCCTGGCCGACCGCGCAACGGAAAAGGGCGAGGGTCAAGATCATGCATAGCTGTCATACTTACCCCCCTCCTTTAACAATGCCGGGCGTATCTTCTCCACGAAGAAACAGAGAAGCTCGTGGAGCTCCTTCGGGACGACCACGATGGCGTCGCCGTAGCGGTAGTCCGTCTTATGGGCCGCTACGCCGATCGCCACCATGGCCGCCCCGGTGCCGTCATCCACCTCCTGAAAAAACACAGATGTAGGCACCTATTATGTTAATATGTCAACCTTCGCATTTGTAGGGGAGAGGGGAGGACTACATGGCTCTTCGTAACTTAACGTAAAACGCGTCGAATCGCCCATTGATCGGTACTCTCCCATTGATCACTTTGAGACCTGTCCGGAAAATTTCGCTCGGCCAAATTTCATCGACCTCGGTCCAGCTGATGACGTCCAGCTTGTAGACGTAAGCGTAGTGCGTACGGTGAAAATATCCAAAAAGAAGATTGCATACCTTGGCGTCCTCCAGCTCCTTCAGCCGGAGATTCTGGTATACTCCGGTCCGCTGAGCCGGGAACGGCACCATGGCCAGGTAGAGGTATCTGTTGGGAGAAAATATTGAAGTTCAATAGACACACAGAAACAGCAAGTGCAACCAAGCACTTGAAACCCTTAGCACTAAAACAGTTAAACTAAGCACATCGAACAAAAAACATAAAAACGCTGAATGCTGATACGGTGCAGTTAACATTTTGAAGTAGTTTGATATTCATGTTGAAGGCAGCACACTAAAATAAGAGTGAAGACACATGTATTTCGCCAACGTAACAGTTAATTACTATATTATTTATAAGGAAACGCTTTTCCACATACTGGCGCCAGTCCACCGCCATATTCAGGCGGAGGTTGGTCGGCAGCGTCGGAAATCTTGTTGCGTTCTGACGGCGCTCACGGAGCTCGTTCATGGCGCCGTCGTGGATTGCGCAGCACTCAGCGGAGTTTAGGTACTGTGAGCTATCCTCCTTTCGCCGCTGTCGGCTTTGCTCGTAGGTGGCCACGACTGCAAAGCATAAACATATATTGATATGTATATTTTGTACCACACTTTGAGTATGAACACCGATGAAAGAAATGGAGCACAGGGCGTGGATAGGCTGTGCCGTCCAACACCTACACCAAGCGGCACAGTATCAGTTGCAACCAGTGCTGGGCCATGAGTTATCGAATATCATCCGACTCTTATCGACGAAGAGCGAGCAATTTAGAGCGTTGAACGTCTAGGGATTGGCGCTCCGTCCCTAATGAAGTTTCGTGAAAAAAAAAACGAGCGTGTTGTGCTCAACGAGAGAAAGCCGATACCCAGGTCAACCAATGTCCTCAGGTCAACACTCGCGGCGGGCCGTCTAACATAACTGTCTACGGGTTGCTATAAAGCATGGCTGCGGAGTCGATGAATTTTCGGGTGACTCTGACTCCGACACCAACTCCGGCTTCAAAAATCGACTCCGACTCCGACTCCGACTCAAGCTCGACTCCGGACGTTTCTCTCAAAGTCCATATCATGATAATGAAGCTCAAAGTGGAGATGTGTTTATTTTGCCTGAAACGATCCTTTTGCGTTCTCAGGACTTGCTTTGCAGATATGTTTTATAAAAACACACAGAATTTAAAAGCAGGTTCTGGCGAATCCACCGCCTTCTGTTTCTTTCGCTGAAATCGCTCGTCCAAAACAAGAATATGGCCTTTTTTGGACAAAGTCTGATTTTGAAAGGTCAACGAGCGTAATATCGTCAAGCAAACAGGTGCAGGGCATGCAGCGTTAACTCCGATTCCGGAGTCTGAGTCGGTGAGATTTTGGCGACTCCAACTCCGACTCCGACTCCGGGAAAAACTGTCGACTCCGACCGACTCCGACTCCGCAGCCCTGCTATAAAGTCAACCGGAATAGGTAAATCGGTGCCAAACCAGGATATAACACTTAAAGGGACCCTCCCACCTTCAAAAAAGTTCATGAATTGGAATAAAAGTGATGTTTCGTGGTTCTATAAGTCTAAAATGAATAAGGCCAGGTCAATTGTGACCTCTCCATAAGTCTATGGGCGAAAATTGAAAGGCGCCTTTTTTGGACGAACGTCATTCCAAACATTAACACTCTAACATCGAGTTACAGGTAAACTCAACAAGCTGAACCAAAAAATCGCACCCGTGACCTCTCCTTATGACCCTGAGGTCATATCAGGTCATGAAAGGTCTTAACCTTTCATGACCTTAAAAGGTTTTCTTTAAACAATAACTTGTGATGGAGACATGCTAGAGCAATGAAAAGACCTCAGATGTGTTCAGCTTGACGATACGGATCGATTGATATGTAACATGACCGTTTCCGGTCAGGTCATGACCTAGACCTGATATATTTTTTAAGACCGTTCAAGGTCAGATGATAATCCATTGGACGCGTCTCGACGATACATGAAAATGTGCGTAAAATAAGACGAGGGATTTAGTCTTACTTCGTTTGTGCGCCTTCATGGTGTGCTGCACAAGGTCCCTTGTCGCCTGAAATCGCTGGGCGATCAATGCACTCTCGGCGTGCTCCAGCGTTGCGCCGGAACAATAGCGCAGCCAGGAACTCAGTGCTGCGGCGCGCAGATGGGCGGAGGGGACTTTGGTGTAAAAGGTCTCCCGTATTACGTCCATGACCTGTTGAAAAAAAATTGAAAAATCAGTTTGTAACAGGATTGCTAATCCATTTATAAAGATTTATTGAGGATGGGATATAGTGAGCATCAAGTGGATAGCTTCTGCTTTTTTAACTAAAACTGGAGGATTCGTTTTTACCTCTCCCACCGCCAGCGCGGCGCGGGTGGATAGGGTATACGTAATACCTATACTTAAGTGGTTTAGGTTGGTTTAGCATACTTGTAAGGTCACATTAAATTTAGCGAATCTAAATAACATAAACACGTTATTGCGATATCACTACCGCTCGCCTTTCAACCTCCAGGCCGTGCTCCTCCAAATGATTTACATAAGTGTGCATAAGTGTGCACCAACATACTCGTAAGCGTTGAAAAGTGCACATAAGTGTGCTTATACATCTCCTCACCTTCACCACCTTCTCGGGGTCGGCCACAATGTGGCGCCAGTCCGGCGTGTCGCTGTCCGGCCCCAGAGCCATGCCGGCCTCTCTGACCATCGTGGTTAGTACGGCGGCATATTGTTTGTTGATGTCCGCCGCCTTGGAAAGGCAAAAGGAATACAGGATATGAAGGAAAGGTGGAAACGGGCTTATGGGTACTTTACGAGAGGATTGGTTTGCAGGTTATTTAATTTCTTCCATTTGTTCGTTTCGCGACTTTCAAAGCGATTAATTCCAAAAAATGGCAAATAGGCTAAAACAATAAAACATCGGTGATGTGGGACAGCGTGCTATAAAAATATTTTTTGTGCAAAATATTTTTTGTTTCGGTGCTCACTTTCACCCGGTGGTCAAAGGCAGGCCGGTAAGCTGGCATAAAGGAGGCGGCGGGGCCGGGTGGAGCAGCGGGGCCGGGCGCTGCCGGCGGATCTGTGGCGGTGGCGGCCGGGCCGGGCGCTGCCGGCGGATCTGTGGCGGTGGCGGCCGGGCCGGGCGCTGCCGGCGGATCTGTGGCGGTGGCGGCCGGGCCGGGCGCTGCCGGCGGATCTGTGGCGGTGGCGGCCGGGCCGGGCGCTGCCGGCGGAGCTGTGGCGGTGGCGGCCGGGCCGGGCTGAGCTGTGGCGGTGGCGGCGGCAGCCCTCGGCTCGGCTCCCCGCCATAGCGGGAGCCCCAGAGCTGCCGCGGCCTCCGGTATCCTGGCTACGCATCGCTGTAAATAAATAACCATTAAACATATTCTCATTCAGACCTCCAATATCGAACATATTATTATATCCGTTGTTATTACATTATCATATTATCCGTCCATGAAGAAAGCTCAAGAAAATTTAACGGCTCCAGTGGCGCAGTTGGTAAGGCGTCGGTTCTGTGGTCGGGAGGACCCGGGTTCGATCCCCGGTGCCGCCCGGCTTCCGGACTGGCGTTGTTACCGGTCGCGTGTACTTTCCGGTTTCCAGCTCGAGAGTCTCGATTAACGGCAAAAAACTGTATTGCCACTTAAACCGCGACAACATCCCCCCGCGGGTTCCCAAGCTCGACTGCCTTCCCGCCGCGTCTCTCGCCGCGCCGCGTCGCGCGGCGTCGCCATGGCAACGGACAGAGGAGATGCAAATTCCGACACACGTACCCACGGACGCACGGCGGAGGGCGGCTTGGCGACAAAGAACCAAACACGCTTACTCTGTTACATCTCCCCCCGCCAGCCAACGCCGCCTCTCAACACATACAACGAAGCATCAAAACACATACGGTATGTACAGTGAACACTACACGCACAGACGAGTCCCTGAATACGCCTCACATTTCGTAGTCACTTAGCCACTGCGGCGGCCGTCGAGTCCGCGAAGATCTGCGCAGACCATCGTCGGGAGGCTCGGTGGAGGCTGGCAGCTGGAATCGTACCTGCCGCGGCGGAGATCCTTCAGCGCGTGGCCGTGGCGTTCCCTGGGTCTCCTGTTCGCTACCCTGTCGTGGGGACCGCAGGCAGGGTCGAGGTGGTGACACTTCACACGGCGCTGTCGTTTCGTATTCAACTGTATCACTTGGCATCGCCGCCTGCGTCGTCACTTCATGTCTCGTTATGCCGGGCTGTGTCGACTGCGGTACCAGGCCACACGGCACGTGAAGGTTGACGGAGGCGGTCCGTTCTGCCTCGTCTGGTGGCTCCGGTTCGTCGTTCGTCCAGTGAAAGAGCCGACGTACGCGCGGAGATGCTCGTTGGATGTACGCTGGCGGGTTCTTCCATGGTCTCAGCTGCGCGTGGTGGGCTCGCTGTGAGTGCCCTCTCTGGTCGCTGACCTCGTAGGTCACGCCGTTGTCGTTCACTCGCGTCACTGTCAGCGGGCCAGCGTAGCGAGGTCCGAGCTTGCTGGCCAGCAGGTTGCCAGGGCGTTCGATCGCCTTCTTGACCTGTTCGCCAACACGGAAAGGCGCGAAGCTCGGATGCCCCGGACTCCATGTACGCTGTGTCGTCAACGGGACTCGCGGAACATCGCTGATCTCGTGCGCGCGCCCCAGTAGGTACTGAGCTGGCGACACGCCCAGTTCGGAGTGCAAGGTCGAGTTGTACGCTGACACGGCTCGGGGAAGGCGTAGGTCCCAGTCGCCAGGTGCACCGTCCAACATTCGCAGGGACTGACCAAGCGTACGGTTCAAGCGTTCCACCGCGCCGTGACCTTGTGCGCGCAGTGGCGTGGACAGAACGTGGACGATGCCCCATCGCTCCAGCACGGCCTCGAACTCGGCCCCGCAGAACTCTCCGCCGTTATCCGTCAGACAACGGGCCGCTGGACGAAGGAGTGCCGGCAGCACCCGCTGTTCGAATGCCGTAGCAACCGCTGGCGACGACTTGGACCGAATCGGCACCGCGATACCAAACTTAGAGGCATGGTCAACCACCACAAGACACCCGATGTGGCCGCGTCCGCTGCGGGGAAGCATCACCAAGTCTGCCTCGATCAGTTCGAACGGTGCGCTGGCGGTGATCCGTATGGTCGGAGGAGTCTTCACGTGGGAAGACGGCTTGAAGAGCTGGCATTTCTTGCATGCGCCAACCACGTCCGCCACGATGTTGGCCGCTCCGGGACAGAATACCTGCTGGGTCACCATGTCGATTAGCTTGTCGCGACCGGCGTGAGCCGACTCTTCGTGCATGGTCCCAACCAGTTCCACAAGCCAGTCTCGGGACACCACCGGCACGTGTCTGTGCTCATCGAACTGATACACCACCAGTCCTTCGACCATGGCAACTCGATCCCAGTGCTTGCGGAAGTGACGAAGAGATCGTGGCAGCATTGCCCTGCTTGTCTTCCGCCGCACATGATGAGC